GAGGTGTTTAAGATTATTAAGGGTATTAATAATATAGATCCATCAAACTTTTTTGTGTTTAGCAATGAAGACTACAGGACAAGGGGTCACAAATTAAAATTTTGGCAGTGTAGTTGTCTGCAGTTTAGACAGTATTGCTTTTCAAACAGGGTGGTTGACTTTTAGAATGAGCTGCCTTCAAGGGTGGTAGAGGTATAAAATTTAACTGAGTTCAAAAAAAAAACTGGATGAATACATGGGTAGTAAGAGGTGCTTATAGTTGGGAGCTAGAAAGGATATCCTTGATGGCTAATAAGCTCCTTTTTATCCCTGTAAAGTTGTATGAATTATCATAGATTCATCACTAATAAACTCCTTCAGAAATTAAGTTAAATATTTTTTCTACAGTTGATTGTACATACCTATTCTAGAGACAATGGATCTGACTGGACAACCTTCTTTATGTACCTTAGGGACTCTGTATGGTATACTTTGGTGTGAACCCATCAGGCATATGGTTTTGTAAACAGTTTTATTATTGACCCCTTGTTTTTTAAGTTTAAGTAGATATGTTTATAATGTTGGCTTTCATTGTTTTGCATGATCAGCATCCAGCACTTTAAAAACTTAACAGAATCATCTAGTATGCTCTGAGCTTTCTTAAAAATAATATACTTTGTCCTAAACAATGATAACCCTTTTCCTCTGTCAGATTTGGTAATGATAGTTATTATTGTATTATTATCTTACTAAATCAAGTACTGTAGAGAACTCATGTTAAATGTAAACAACAAAAGATTATACCATATAGTAAATGTTAAGACAAATGTCATACATTCCAATATTGCTTGTACATTCATCAAAAGAAAAATTAACAATAAATGCCAACAATCATAAAATATCCAGATATTTCAACAAAATGTTAAAATATGAACCAAAATATTAGAAAAATAATCATCAATTAATGTTCTAAAGACGTTTTTTGTATGTAACTCATATAAAAACCTAAAACATTATGAAATTCATAAAAACATGTCTACTATTATAATGAAACAGTATAACTTATTTGGTTAGTTAAAACCCTAACAAATTAAAATGCTGATTGCCGAGTATATTTACCATTCTTACTTTATGTAACATAAAATGTTAGAAATATTCAGCAAAAGTTAAAATGAAATTTTTAATACAAACTATCACTGCATATCATGCAAAAGAGAATTCTGAATATTATAGAGGTATGTTATTAGACTGTCCAATCCAACCAGGTAGTTGGTATCCTTCTCATGTGCTGTGAAAACATGAGCAAAGTCAATCATTCGAACATCACAGACAAAAGACAGAGTGCTGTCAAGCAACACTGATTTACATAGGTTTGATGATAAACAACATATACTACAGTAATCTGTGACAGAATCATTGTTCTCACTGGTAATTTTACTTCCAAAGCTGTCTTTGCTCTGCTCACAGGAGAAATTAGAGTTCATGGTTTTCTCACAACCTATTCTTTTTTCAGTATCTCCTTCATACACTAGCAACAAGGAGCTACCATAAAAAACAAAATGTCTTTGATGTAAAAACCAGGACTTTATGGAATGCAGCTTGTGTAACAAGAAGCACAGAAGAAGCCAAGCCTTTGGTCTATCTGGTATGTTCAAAAAAAGTTTCAAAGCTGAAAAAAAAAAGTTTTCAGAGAAATAAAAACAACTAACTAAGGCAACATATATTTATTAGTCAATAATAAATGTTTGTAAGACAGATCCAGTGAAAAAATGTTTATCAAATGCAGCATTTGGAGAAGACATTCTTTTTCAAAAACAGCATATTTTTTAAGTAAAATCTTTTATTTATGGGAATATCTATCATCACGGTTTTGTATGTTTTTAAACATTTTGCAACTGGCTCCAGATGGATGCTGAGATGAGGTAATAATGTTGCCTTTTCTTTTTCATTTATTTGAAAAACAAAAGAAATTACAACCATTTATAGTTAGAGGTAGAAAAATGCTAAAACTGGATAGAAATATTCAATTAAACTTATTAGGCATAATTGCTTACCAATGGTAGCCAAACTGGCTCAAAAACTAATCTAAAGGCCTTCTTAAACCTAATTTTAATTTTCTGTAAATGGAACTACAAGATGCTATAGTTTGTTTTAGGAAACTCTAAAAATGAAAAAATGGCCAAATTGGACTTGGAATGTAAAGTAATAGCAGAAAAAATAATTTGTCTTATACAGGACTGCAATCAGAAAATTAGTAATAGTTGCTTCAGAATTTCACGCAAGATTGGTTTGGGAAGTGGGAACTAAGCTTTGGCAAGTTAATACAAAATTGCTGAACTTCAAGAGTACTGAATTTTGGCATTATGTTTCACTGGTTTTTACCTGTGTTTAGATATTTGTTTCACAGTTACAAAGTGATATCTAAGTAAGTAAGACTATCAGAGACTATTTGTAACATTAAAGCTAATCTATACCAAAAGTGTACAGTGATTCCATAAGTTGGTGGTGTAACAGAAAACTAACTGCACACACGTTGGTAAAAAAAAAAAAAAAAAAAGTAGCTACTTATATTCCTGGAGAATAGAAGGTTTTAATTTGCTATAAAATGAAACATGAGGTTCTCTCTGGCCTAAAATCTATTTAAATGAAACTAATATTTTTACATCAATGTGCTTAAAATTGTTCATGAAAATAATAAAGGCTAACACAAAAGAAAAATTTTACCTTTATGAAAACTTTTGGAAATGAATTACACTCATTTTAATTCTACACCTCATAAATATAAGTTACCAGTAAATAAAATGTAAATGCCACAAATTCCAGATGTCATAAATGCAGAATTTAAAAAAACGTCGTGACCCATGGTGAAACAGACTTAAAAAAACATAAAACTAAATTTCTCCTTAACTTTAGGCAAGCATCAGTTGCTTACAGAAGCACTTCTTTAAGAAGAAAATCATTTGAAGTGATCAGAAACTTCCTCTTGGCTAAAACTCTGGGTAAAAAATAATTCTGCCAATGATAATTCCAAGAAACACATGCATAACACATACTAACATAAAGAGAATTTTCAAAATAAAAAAGGGGTTGACTGGGGGGAGTTAACATATGGTAAAATAGCATTCAAATAATAGAACATTTATTGGAGCAGGCACAAAAAGATTGGTAGTACATTGCACAAAGTGTTTTTAAACTTGATGATGCACTTGCATTACTATGCACTACTGATGTTATGCCCCTGAACTATACACATTAATCAACAGCTCATTTTCAGGATAAAAACTGTGTCTACTATTAGAAAATTTTTCTATATTTTATATAGATTGTATGCTCTTCATATACCTTTAAAGTTTAATAAAAGTAAGTTTGTAAATACTAAAGTTCAACTATAAAGGAATTGGAATATTCAGTTTGAATAGCACTGTCACAAGTTCAGTAATATATTTGAATTTTTTTCTTTTCTCTACATTTTAGGTTGTTTTATAACTAATGTACAACAACTATTTATTATGTAAGCTTTATACATTCCTGTTCATTGTGTTCCACAGTTAGGAATCAACATGAAAATGATTTAATTTCTCCATTAACATAATGTTTATGGACATCAAGGGACTCAAATCCAGTTCTTATTATTCAAATATTTATCAAGCCTTCCCTTAATTTCCCATAAGTTTACTGCTTCCACAAGATTTGAAAGTAACCTCATTAGAAAAATAAAATTGTCTTAGTTGAAGATGGCTCTTACTCTGCCTAGTCTTACCATTCTCACCATGAAGTTAAAAAAAAAGATGGTGCATTGACATTACTCATTTCCTTGACAATCTTATACACCTCAATAAGATCCCCTCTAACTCTTTTTTAAAGAAAACAAGAACCCTAGAGTTTATATGCAGTCATTATTAATTTTTAGCTACTGTTATATTTTCTTTCTTTCACACACATTTCTTATTTCTTCAAATGTCTCCCAATGGCTCAGCAGTAAGGCTGAAGGCTTATAAAGCTAAAAATTGGATTTTGATACTTAAGGTTGGTAGTGCACAGAGAGCCCAAAGTGTAGCTTTATGTTCAACAACAACAACAAAATAAAAAAATTTTTAGACAAATAAAAAGTTTTCCATAACTCAGGCTTCACTTGTTAATCTGAATTTATAGCTGGAATAAAATTAATCAAATTGTATACTTTCACTTTTTTTTTTCTATTTGTTGTAACATATAGTTAACAATCACAGCATAATGTGGTAATGTTCCTAAAAATACAAACAATTAAGCATCAGGGTCAGCACTTATTCATTTACATATAAGTGTATATTTGGTAATAGAAGTTCATGTCCTTGGCTTGCTTTCTCATTTTATTATATCGGGAGCTGCTTTTAGCACATTACAGAATACGGATGCATGCCATTTGCTTCTCTTTGTTACCCATACATGGGAGAAAATGGATTATGCACTGGTTTTTTTATAAGTTGTCTAATAAGAGAAAGAAGTGACTACTTTTCTATGAAATGGATTATTACCACCATCTAGGGCAGTACCCGTGAAAGTTGAAGCATTAACCCGTGACTTAACACTGCATAGGAAAAGAAATACTTTATATTTGAGAACATAAGACCCAATTACTGATGTTATGTGGATATATCTGTTTTCCTTTCCATGGGTTTTCACTATCCCAGTTTTTGGGGGCAAATCAGTCATCGTCCCAGGATCCTGGTTTATTTTAATTAAATACATACATGTGGATAAATAAAGATAAATCCCAATATGCAATGTCAGCTATCTATTTAGGTATGAAAATAAAGCAGTTCCAGTAGAATTTTATTTTAAAAGTACTTCCACATATTATAACAAATAAAATTTATATATCTAACTTTTACCTTACAAGTTAAATATTCTATTCAAAGTGAAACACTTTCTTCTTTTACAAAAAAAAACAAAAAGTTAAATATTTTGTCAAAAAATAGAAAATGTCTTTGCAAAACAAATGAGAGAGAGAGAAAGACAACAAAACAAACATCATGAGTTATCAACTCACAAGTACAATACTAATCTTTTTTATTTTTAAAGTAGAATTTCAGCTCCGAGAACAAATATGGTACTTCCAGTTGCTGTTGATTCAGTTGGAGATAATGCCTCAAGAGTAATGTCTTGACCTGGATATAATTTTTTTAATGCATTCATTGTTGTGAGTAGCATGATGGTTACAGAAAATGAGTTTCAATTACGTGGATGGAACAAAAGCGTAATGAGGACAAAAGTAATGTATCACAAAGTAGAGGAAGTCTATTAAAGTGATTAGAAACTCAAAAAGAACAGGAAAAAAAACAACATCTGAACACAGGCAGTGTCAAAAAGAGAATGAGCCTTTGATCACGTGCTGGTGCTAATGGCAATTACTGCACATGGAGGTTGTGTCGCCCTACTTGGTGGAGGGATACACCATAAGATAGTGCATTACACAGACACTTGTACAGGTGGGAGTTTGTTGAAAACTTGTGGTATGTGGAGGAAATTACATGGTAGTTGTGCACAAGGTAATAGCTTTTAGTGGTGCATAGAGGTAAGTAATGTTTCTGAATAACCAGTTATAAAAAATAGCATTGTTACAATTACCTTGTGGTATTGTGTCAGGTGTTTGTTGCTTCCCAAAATTTCTGTCTAAAACTAGGTACTCTTGCCTGTCTGGCTGGAACACCTATGTATCCAAATAGTAATTAATGAGACAAAAACTCAAGCAACTTATGGGAGTTTTAATATTAAAAATAAAATTTTAAAAGAAAATAATCTCACACAAATTTGTACACAACTGCAAATATAAGTAAGGTTTGTCTAAAATTAAGTTCTTATCTATCTGTCTAGAATACTTGTGCATCCAAGCAGCATTTTATTACAACACAATAAGCACAAGCAAATTAAGAAAGCTTTAACATCTGAAATAAAATTTACAACAAAAAATAGTCTTCAACAATTTCTCAATAAATCTGTGAAACACACAAATGCAGAAGAAAAAATTAATCATATCAATATAACACCTACACAGTTGAAAAGTCATGATTTACATTTATAGTAACTGCACTTTTTACAATGTTACATAATTACTTCATTATATTCAAAACTGGTAATTTCAAAATATTTAAAGATACTTTTGCACCAGTGGTTCGGCAGTAGGTCTAAGGGCTTATAATGCTAAAAATCAGGTTTTGGTTCCCAAAGTGGGCAAAACACAAATATATGTAGCATTGTGCAGAAAAAAATAAAATAAAAACTACAAGCATCTACCTTTTTAAAATCAAAAACTTTAAACAAGTGAATATTTTAAGAAAGAGAATATTCTTGACTGTAATAGTTTCCTGGTCTGCTCCAGTGCAACCAAAGTATTCTTCTGAAGTCTAGCAATCGAGATTTGTCCATTAAAAGTGATAACAGTTTTGAAAAATAGCACCTACTGAAGCAAGCAAAACCTGTTTCATCTTATAGAAAATTTTATGTTATCATCATGTTGCATAATTATCTTAAAATATAAATTTCTTAGTCTCACTCAGAAGGGCATCTTTAAGTATTTTGAATACCATCCAGTACTTTAAAGTGTAAACTAAAGCAACAAAAGGTACATACTCTCATTCCCAAGATACGAAATCCAATGATTTTACCAGCAGGGTATTTTTCTGTTTCTATTTTAATTTTTTGTGGTTTTGCTTCAGGATCAAATGTCCTTGGTCCAATCTTTAAGTCTAGTATACACGGTTTGTGAAAAGCATCAGTGATGTCCTCCAAACACATATATTCAACTTCTGAAAAGAAATAACATTTATATAATTGATACTTGAAACTGTCGTTACTTCGTGAAACTCCATGATTACAAAATTGAGGAAAAACAAGACAATTGTACATTATATAAAAAAATCATTTATTGAGAACCATGGTTTTGCCAGGAAAGGCATCACGGTTGTGAATAAATGATGCATTTGTGAAACATAAAATTGTCATGTTTTTTGTCAATTCTGAAATTACACTTATTAGTTAATAGTTTTCAAGTATGGCTGAGACTAAGTGACTTTTAACAACTGTTATTGCCTGAAGTTAACATTAAGTTAAAATTCACAAAGACTTTAACATAAAGACTCCAATACTAGTTTAGTTTAATTTCAAGTAATAGATATGATATTCTGTACTCACTTCTAGAAGCTTACCTATGGAGGAACAAAGTTATCTTAAAAGTACTTTTTTAAACTATATCAGATACAGGGTGAAATTTTAAAAACACTAAAAAATTCACTCATCAATGTTACACTGTTAATGTTTCATCTGCCATATATATTGTTAGAGCTTTCTCTTATAAATTCTTCATTTTCAAGAAAGGCTAATTGCCCATTATGAGGTAAAATTCTAAGCTTTATCCTGAAAAGATTGATGTTGAATCTTATTCAGATTCTTCATGTTTCGAAGAACCAAATTATTTCTGTTGTTATGAAGTTTTAATTATGTATTGAGTTTATAATAATTTCAATGATGAAATGAAACTGGAGAGGAACCTCTTGAAGGAAGTGAATCAAACCAAAGAACCACACAATGAGACAGAAATCATTTAATACCTGAAAGAAAACAACCAAAGAAAGTATACAATACAGAACCTGGATGTTCAAACAAGTTCACATATCTACCTACAATTTTTTTTAATAGGAAATGAGTGGATATTGTAAACAATAATATTATATGATGGACATTATGGGATGAGACCTAAAATGTGTGTTGCATGTTGTAAGTAATGCTTATAAGTCTTGTGGAAAAGGATAACAAATTCACCAGTAGACTCAAAGAATTGGCAATATGTCAAGTTTGGTTCATGATTCAAAGAGTTTAATTTTGTAAAAAATGTTCAAAGCCTAAAGAGTTAATGTCAAAAAATCTAATATCTCTCTGGTACACAAAAAAGTATGGAACAACAATGAAGTTATTATTGTTTAAAACAACTCATTGCAAAAAAGACCATGGAAGTGATCTTTTTTAACAAGCAAAAACTTCAATAATCTTGATTTTAGTTTTGTTGGATCAAGAATATAGTATGTGATTATCCTTTCATGACAATACCACAAGTAAATAAAGATATTTAATAAGTTATGTGAGGGGAAAGATATTACTGATGGCAGGAAGATGAAAAATACTCAAAATGATTCAAAAACTGTCATGTTGTCCATGAATAGTATCCAGTGCATGGGAAGGCAAAATAATCCTTGTAAATCAAACAACTATGTCATGTTTTGAATATGAGCTGGGATTCTTTACAGAAGGTGTCTGTGACTTGTTGGCAATAAATTTCAACAATAAACAGACAGCAAACAATCCACATGTTTTAAAATAATATATTAAAAACAAATCAAACATTATAGGAATATCACAGTTGTATCTAAAATTTTAAATAACTATCTTTTCTTGTCAAAAGTCCACACAGGCTAGTTCAGTTATTTTAGAACTCAATTGACAAGGCCAATTATTTTTCTCTACTCTGTTTCTTACTGCACAATCTATTAGAGATTCACTTACATTACCTCAGAATTTGAAATAATTGTCTCCTTTTCGTCAAAGTTCACACAGGTGGGTTCAATTACTTAGAAAACACTTTGAAAAGACAAATTATTCACCTTATCCCTGTTAAACTCACTTTAAAATATTGCCCATTATAGCTAAACTAATAATCACGCAGTCTAACTTTATTTTCACTAAGTTAACGTTTTCTGACTTAACTTCACTTAACTTCTTTCATTGGTTACCACAGTTGTATCTAGAGATTTAAATAACTGTCTCTTTATTTTTATCAAAAGTCCACACAGACTGGTTCATTTACTTTAGAGCCCAATTGACTGACAAATAATTTTTCCTATCTCTGTTGTTACAATACAACTGTGAAACACACTACAGAAATCACCCATTAAGGCTAATCACTCGCATGCCAGCTAAATTAATGTTTTCTTCCACTAAATAACTTTTTTCTGACTTCACTTTACTTGCACTTGCTTAGTCGCCTATATATATACATTTCCCAACTGCAGCCTATAACTTTCTACAAACTACTAGATGCTATGATGCAACAATACTCACTTAAGGCAACAACAAAAATAGCAAAGATTCAAGTAAGATGATGTCAATTTACAACAACTGAACTAATCATACTACGTATGACACTTTCCGAGTTATGTAATGAAATTGTCATAACTATCGCCTTTAAAATAATTAATTTTCAAACACTCTTGTTATGAAAACTAAATAATCATTAATATTAGATCACTAAGTGAACTAAATAATAAGTCTTATACTAAACAGTCATGTATATCCAACATTCTAACTTCAATCTGATAGAGATTAGTAGAAAAGATATAAGATATTAGAACAAGGGCATCTAAGTAAACAATATCCTCAAGAGAGATAAAACCTTCATTGTAGTAAAACTGTGAGACAAGTAGGAAATGAGCATGTTGCTCAAAAGAAAGATGACACTTCAACATCTCCTAAATCAAACTAATATAAACACTAATAGGTACACTCAAATGAATATAAAAATCTCAGAAGAGTGTGTACGGAATTTGGTTAGCAATTCATTCCTACCCACAAGAAAAATACTTAGTATCCTTGGAGTCATATCAGCAGAAGTTGTCTTTGACATGTCAAAGATTCAGATGATCCCAAGAATGTAAAGACAAACAAATAAGTCACTGTCTCAAGTTGCATAGAGGTATGGCAACAACATGAGAGAATACTGAAACTGTTATGAAATGCAGTTTAAGCAAAATTAAAAATTTCTTGGAATCAACTGAAAATCTGTGAAAATAGACATCACAGTCTTTTTTTTTTTGACACTCAAACTACAAAACATAAAAAGTGACACACCTTGAAATAAAAGAAAATCTACAGCTGGCTCATGGCAAACTAATTTATGAATAGTAGCCATTGTGTATGCATGTGCTTTGAGATCAAATGTGGAAAAATTTTAAAAACAAATTCTTAAATATGTTCCTTATAGAAAAAAAATAAAAAAGGTGGCTGTAAATAACTCTAGATTTTAATATTTTTAAGTCCATAAACTTGCTGCTGTTCCATTCACCACATTCACTCAAAAGAGTATAAAAAATAAAATTAAAGTATCATAAATATGAGAACTGACTACAATGATGAGAGAATTGGGGGACTACAGAAGATCAAGAGAGTTGGCCAAACAGAGAATTATGAAATCCTAAAACTTTATGAAAAAAGGTTGGCTGAAAATATAAAAATAACTGGTAAGAATTTCTTCAAATACATTAAGGGTAAGCAAAATGTTGAGAAGAGTGGAGCCTTTGAAGGATGACACTGGGAGGCTAATATCAGATGATTATGAGATGGCTAGGTTATTAACCTTCTCCACACAGGTCACTGGTCAAAGGCCATGTCATCATGTTTGTTGACTCGCATTCAAAAATTTTATTGAACTACTATTTTAAGAATTTATGTCAATAAGTTTGGTATCAAATTGTAGATTATAATTCAAATTTTGGTATTATACATTATTTAATTTCTTAATTTAAAAGTAAATATTAAAAAAAACACACCTAAACATTTATTTTTGGGTGTCACATGATAAGTTGAATGCAGCACTGATTCAAATTAGATGTTTGTGATGTCCAAATACAAATCCTATAGTTTCTTACGAATTAGGCACTGAAATTCTCAATATTTACAAGCTAGAATGTAAAATAATAAAATAAGAACCTTCTATCTTTTCTATTTGCTGAGATATCGGCCATGTACTGAATCAAACACAGTGGCCCAACCAAACCTCTTTCCATTTTTAGAAACACTTCCTCATATACAATTACTGCTGTCTATATCATGTGAATAACCAATCAAAAGCTCAGAATGTCTCCCTAGTGGCTTTCCCAGCCATTTTCAGGTATTATGATGTCAATTCATTCTTTCGATACAAGACTTCAAGTTGGTAAGTTGAGTTTTTATTCTGCTCGAAATTTCATATTTTTTTTAGACCCAAATACAGCTTAGTTACTAAGCTTGATATA